TATGCAATGCAGTACCACCAAACTTAGACCATATAGATTTGTGCTCAGTGCTGAGGATGTCAAGATCAGTTGGAAAGTATATTTAGGGCCCCCTAATCCAGAGGCTCTTACAGTAATGGAAAGAGCATGGGGTTCGAATCCCAGCCCTGCCATTTACTTATGCTATAAACCTGAGCAAGTTATTAAATTTCTCTAAACCTATTTCCCAAGAAAAGCAATTTGCTTCTTAACCAGTGTTGTGAGGAATAAATGAGTTAATATATTAAAGAACTATAGAACGGTACCAGACTCATAGAAAACTTTGTATGTGTTAGCTATAGTAATAATTATTCTATTTTTACATTTCTTACTGTCAGCTTTGCACATAACAGGTGCTCAGCAAATGTTTGTTGAATGAATGAATCACTCAATGAGCAAATGAACAAATCTAGTAGAGTGATAAGATAGGTATACAAATGACTATAAGATCGACAAGAAGTGCTTCAAAGGAATAAAAGGTAATAGAGGGCTCTGTGGTGGGAGACGTGCTGGGTTGGAAGATGATTAAGACACAGGTCTTGACCTCTAGAACATACTGTTGAGTGCAAAACAATGACATAAATCAGTCATTACAAAACAGTGTGTTAAGTGTTTTGAGAATTCACAAAATTCTGGCTCTAATTGAGCCATGGCTTTTCCTGGAGTATTTGAATCCTGTATCTTCATGAGTAGATATGCCTAATCTCCTACAAGCCACAAACAGAGGAGTTGAGAGGTGGAACCACTGCTCTCCTTCGTTCCTCACCATCTTGGTGAAAACCGCTGTTTCTCTGAAGCCAGCTCTACTTTCCACTATCAGTCTTCTTCTCTGTCACTCTGCGTTCATTGAAGTCTTTGGCATCTTGCTCAGTTCTGTTTTCTCCTGGTTGATTTCAATCATGTGAATTGCCCACCTGGTAGTTTCCCAATCTACTCAATTCAGCCTCCACTGTGTTCTGTCAAACCCACTCTCAGGCACAACTGGAAGGTAACCATTCAAAACTGTTCTATTCTGAATCTCTTCAGTTCAAATATCCTACTTTCTACCTACATCCTCCTAATCCCTCAGCTCTCTCACTGCGTGAGTACTTCTACACCTATAACCTGACTCATCATGACCTCTAGTGCCTCGATCACTATTTCCTCCCTAATTTGGGGCTCTCTCAGCATCACTTCCTTCCTGATTGAGCCTGAACTATTATATTAGATCAACTATACTCTGCACATACCCTTTTCCTGGTGGGCAAAGAAAACCACTGATCATGCTTTTGCCTTCTTCACTTCTACTCTAGGGCTATTAAAAACTGCCTGTTGCTATGTTAACTTTGTATTTAATCCTGTAGGAAATGGGATTCAATTGAAGAATTAAGCCTATTTTACTGTACTTAAAAACTTAAGAGGTGGGAATGGGGTAACTCTTACTATAGAAAATAGAGACTCAAGATGCCAGTAACTAGAGAGAGGAAGGATGCCAGGGTTAGAGATAACCAATCCCAGGATCTGCCCTCTTTCCTCTATTGCCAGCACTACACAGTCTTCAGGAGTGAGAAGGAAAGTCCAAGAGCATAATAAGGAAGGGGTCCCTCAGGCACTGAACCACCTGTAGGTGCTGGTTCTTACCTAGGATCTTATGCAAGGTGTGTTAAAGACTATCTATCTTTGGTTAAACAAAGGGGCTGCCAGTGGACACGGGTGGATCGTGGACCCAGGTGGATTGTGAACCCAGTGGTGCATATGTACATAACTCTGGCAGTAAAGTTTTGGAAACAGAGTTCTAGAAATGAAGTTGCATCAGTAGTAAGCATCAGGAAAGCTACTAGGTACATACATTATTTCCTTACTTTGTCATTTGATCAAAGACTATTTCTTATTCATATTTGCGAGTTCCCTCAATGTCCAGCCCTGTGCCTTGCAGAGAGGAGGTGGTCAGGGTGGGTTATATTGGACCACAGATTATTTAAACCTAGCTGGATATGTGCCCTGTTAGTTAAGCTCCTGGTTTGAAGCCCATTATTGTCCCCATTTTATAAATGATTAATCTCACAGAGTGATTAGATAAACTTCTTACAGTCAAATAACTAACCAGTTGCAGGCCTCCAGCCCTTTACCTTTATCTTTATTACAACACACTGTATACCACTGAGGGTGCCTTGAGTTTGGGTTCAAAGGATTAGCAGGAAGCTACTAAGCAGACTCTGCCATTGAATATTTTAAGTGACTGCAGGTCTTTCACTACATAGACCTAACATTTTACTGATGAGCGTCAAGAATTAAGAATAGTTTAAAATGCAGTGTTAGTCTCTGGATGCTGCATTTGACTTTGGCTTCTTACTAGTTAGCATGTAGCTCTCCTTTAAGGAAAAAATTGAAAATTTTTTACCATTAACCAAACAATTTATACAGCTTGTTTTTTGCTGTGATGTAGTCAGGCAGGCTAATCTATATCATTATTTATATACGATAAACTCTCAGTTGAGTAGATTAGCAGCTTAGCCCACCTATATTTTGTGGTTAATTGCACTTGCTTTGCAAGAGTCTGATCTTATTTTGTGTTTTTCCAAAAGCTCTGGTGAAGTAATGGCTTCTGATATTACAGTACATTGAACATAAAGAGCCTTCCCCTTCCTTGCTCAACATATAATTGCTGCATTTGTGCGTGCTGTGTAAGTTGAAAATAACAATAAAAAGTTAATGAAGAAAATAAGTACTGGTTGTAATGAATTAGTAATATGGCTGGATTTGTATCTGGAGTTTATTTTTATTGTTGTAAGTGGAATACAATCAATAAGAATATGTAATCGAACTGCACATGCTTTCATCGCTTGAAATCTCACTGAAAAGGAGCTGAGATATCTTTAGGAAACTATTTTCAAAAGCCTACAGTACATTCAATTATTCAGCATAATCATTCAAAATCATTCGCAATAAGTACCCCTCACTTTTAAGGTTCTTGTAGTATAAAAAGATATATTTCTTAAACAGGTTTTTATTGCATTACAAGTATTAAGTTTTTCTTTCTTTAATTTTTAAATTAATTTTAATTATACAAAATAATATTAATAGATTTCTTTTATTAAAAAACTAAAATAAAGTACAAATAAAATCAAATAAAAATAAAATAAAGTCCCCTTTTAGTTTACAAATAAAGTCTCCTTTCACTATTCCCTTATACCTATTCCCAAAACTCCCCTATCCCCTCTTTCCCCAACCACTGTTATTATTAGGTAAGTGAGGTTTCTTTCAGATTGTTTTCTATGCATTTATACATGTTATCTTAAAAAACCAACCCATAAATGTTCTTTTAAATGCTACATAATTTTGATATTTCATATTTCATGTGATGTAACTGAGCCCTAAATAAATAATACGATCAACATGATCCTACTTAAACCTCATTTCTTAAGATGTTTTTTGATTTGATCAATCCCCAAAGGAAATATAGTTTGTTAATTTTGTTTGATATTTTTAAGTACTAGATGAATTCTGATGTGTGTAGTGAAGGAGAGGATTGATAATTACAGCCTATTGTTACTATAATTAGAAGTCATCAGATGCCAATTAGTACCACATTAAAATGATAAATTATGAACTACATTATTTGCAGCTGAGACCAAGTCCAATTCCCTAAATTTAAAGGTTTACAGAAAAAAATAACTGGCCTCTTTCACAGCTTTTTATATTCTCCACTTTTCTTCTTAAGACTTCACACAGCCTCCAAATATTCTACCACCACTTGGATATTCTCCACACACTGGCCTGACACACCAAGCCTGAACAAATTTCATGTAGAGAAAGTAATGTTAAGATGAGTAATTTGACTTTAAGATATTTTCTAGATTTGACTTATAGTTATGTTTATAATGCTTTGGGGGACAAATTCTTAAAGTCCAACAATTACCTTAGTATGTATATCATGATTTTAACCTTAATCAATTGAATAATACACTGAGTTGGGGGACAAATTAGCCAGTTGCCAAGAAATTGATGGTGTCCATTTTAACATAGATGGTATATTTAAGAAAGCTAATCTAAAGATATCACTTTGCTTCACTCCTACTTTTTTTGTTTTAAAAAAAATCTATAGTTCGTGCATTTTAACGGGATATTTGATCCTGTCACACAAGCAAAATGATAAAAGTTCAAGTAGGCCAAGGGGTACAAGGACATCATTCTAACATCAGGATAGAGCTCCTAAGCCAACTACTTGTTCATGTTCATTGTCCACTTTTGTGTTGTATTATCTTGTTCCTTTTTTTTTTTTTTAAAGATGACCAGTAAGGGGATCTTAGCCCTTGACTTGGTGGTGTCAGCACCACGCTCTCCAAAGTGAGCTAACCCCCCCCCCCCCCCCCCCCCCCCCCCCCCCCCCCCCCCCCCCCCCCCCCCCCCCCCCCCCCCCCCCCCCCCCCCCCCCCCCCCCCCCCCCCCCCCCCCCCCCCCCCCCCCCCCCCCCCCCCCCCCCCCCCCCCCCCCCCCCCCCCCCCCCCCCCCCCCCCCCCCCCCAACCCATGGCCTTGGTGTTATCAGCACCGCACTCTCCCAAGTGAGCCACGGGCCGGCCTATCTTCTTCCTGATTTATAAAATCTTCAATTGATCTGTAGGCCAAAACTTGGCACTTGGTCATGTATGTTGCAAATGTTTTTGTAATTTTGGCATTTGTCTTTAAACCTTATGGGAATTTTTTCCATCGAAGAACAATTTTTTATGCAGTCAAATGTGTTAATCTTTTCATTTATAGTTAGAGTTTTGGAACTTTTCAGGAAGGTCTGCCTTGCTCCAAGATTAAATACTACCCCTACTACTACTAGTAAAATAATTCGGTCATGGTCAAATAGTCATTGATTGCCATCTCTGTGTTAGGAACATGAATGCTAGGGTAATGTGGATAAAATATGATCATCTGAACTATGCTTAAAAGCACATAGAGTACATGGTCTTCTCTTATCAGCATTACAAATAAATAAAGAAAATGATCAGTCCATAATTTTATTCTTTTATTTATTTATTTTTAACTGAAACATAGTTGATTGTACATATCTGTGGGGTACAGCATTGAACGTAATTTTATTCTTATGCGTCAGCTCACCTGCCCCCCAGAAGTCACATAAGTAATAAGATAAAAGTACTTGTTTTACAAATGGAATTGGCATGCTTTAATATTTGTCAGTATCCATTTTGTATCCTGGCTGATCGACCATCTAAATATCAGAAATACCAACAATCACTTTACTTCTGACTCTAATGTTTTTTTTATTTTTGCATGTTCTCTCTATATCTAAATTGATCTCTATAGCAAATAGTTAAGAGAAAGAACAGTTGAGTAAGAAGACAACACTTCTATGAATGAACATGTATTTCCCAGGATACTGCAGATCTTTAATTCAATTTAGTGGTTATGGCTCAACCACTGATGCATTTCTGATGGCACTGGGAACACCGTCACTGCACTGGTCCTCAGCAGCAGCTTCTTCTCGTCCCTCTGCCACTTAGACGAAATGGAATCAAGGGCAACACAAACCTGGAAGAGTCTAAAACCTATCAGTAAAACTTCAAGCCTTTTGGATGCCAGAATGAACACTGCAGATAACAGAAGTGAGTAAAGAAAATGCAGTCTTTCAAAAGAAAAAATTGGTTGAAATAAGAAGGAAAGAACAAAATAAAGAAAATAAACTTTTGATGAGATTTTAAAAATATCACTGGATATTCCGCAACACTTTTTTTGCTATATTGTGTTACTTTTTTGTGTGTGATATTCCACTAACACTTTTTTACATCTTTAAATGTCACATTATATACTGCTTTACATAATAACTAAGTTAAAAATTAACACTGTTCCAGGAAGAGCGCATTAGAGTCTGATTTGAATTAGAGGTGGCAAAGGACATAATAAAGTACAGTCTACTGTAAGTCACAGTCCATGTTAAGCTACTCTAAAGGGCACATACTGTGAAAAATGTGTGATTCAATGTTTGTTTTGGTCTAGAACATTCATGTTATACTAAAGCCCCCATCCAGTCATCCAGGCAAAGATTTAAATGAATACTTTGTCCACAGCCCTGGTCACATGTAAAGGTATACAAAGCTAAGTGCCTGCTTGAAGGAGTGGCAGATCTAACAGAAGACATAAAGCAGCATGACAGACACAACAACAAGAGACAATGCTTGTTAAGCACATTCTATGTACCAGGCACTGTTCTAAGGGTTTTATCCATATTACCCTCTTTAATCCACTCAACAGACCTATGGGGCACAGAGAGGTTACCTAACTTGTCCAGGGTCACACGTCTAATAAGGGATGGGAAAAGCATTTGAACTCAGGTAATTCATACCCGATATATGTCTTCCCCTACTTGATCACTTAATGTGGGACCTCAGAAAGTCACTTCACCTTTCTAAGCCTTAGTTTTCTCACTGGTGAAACTGTTATTTCTGCCTCACAGAGTTCCTGTTAGGGTTCGTAGTTAGGCGCTCTGACGTAGAATAATGTTTACCAAACTTTTGCAGCATCCACCAGATGTACTGCTGACAGGGGTGAAAGGGTTCTGTAGTCAAATAACTGGGAAACACTATCTATTCTTAGAGATTCATGATGCACACCGTATGTACATAACTCCTGAGAATTCTGAAATGAAGAAATCGTTTTAATTCTGTTAATCTTTTTACTTTTTAACCTGGCATGCCCACACTTATTTGAACATAGGACCTTTTCTCCCACTGAAAACCTAGTTACACCTTTAGCCCTGGAACAGAAACTGGGAAATGTTGGCAGGAATAAGGCCTGAAATCAGAGGACCTAAAGGTCTGTGCAACTCTGGCTGATTCTCATCTCTTGGATCTCACTTCTCAGGGCCATCTTCTACACTTCAACTAATTCTGTTCCGTAACACAGATATATTAACATGACCCCCTTGCTTAAAGACCTTCGTGATAATAGCTGAGAATAAGAGCAAACACAGAATGCTCACTATGCTGTGCACTATTCTATTTACTCATTTAATTCTTAAAACCATTCTCTGGAGTAGATACTGAGGCACAGCTAGCAGGTGGCGCAGTCTGTTTTCAGATTCCAAGGCCATGCTGCTGCCGCTGGGATGGCTCCCTACTATTTGTCCACATATAGCCCTAATTCCTTAGGTCCTTCACAATCGGACCTCACCCTTGCTTTTCCACCTCATCTCCTCATCTCAATTCCCTACTACATGAGCTTGCTAGGGCTTTGAGGGAGGAATCTGTTCCAGGCCTCTCTCCTTGGCTTGCAGATGGCATCTTCAGTTCACAAGGCATTCCCCCTAGTATGTGTGACTATGTCCAAATTTAACCTTTTTAGAAAAACACTTATTGTATGAGGAATGTTCAGTACATTTATGGAAGGATTTGTATTATCTTTTAATTCCATTTTTCCATAAACATTTTGAAATACTCTCACATTGGATTGGGGCCCATTCTGATGATCTCATTTTAACTTGATTACCTCCGTAAAGACACAATCTCCAACTAAGGTCATAATGTGAGGTACTGGAGGTTAGGACTTCAACATATGAATTTTTGGAGGACACAATTCAATTCATAATACCTATATACATAAGGAAGCTATTCTCTGTTCCATAAATTTATACATTCATGTAACAAGAATGTACCATTACAATAATAGGTATATTGTAATAGTTGGCACTATTCCGGACCCTGCCAGGAACTTCCATATCCCATGTCCTTGGTGTCAGCCAGTTCCTTACTTCCTCTGCTTAGGATACAAGCACTTCTACCACGCCTCTCACCAAACTACTTTCCTCCAACTGATGACCTCCTAGTTACCTTCAAAGCTCAGTTATAAGCTCCCTATTTAGTAAGGTACAAATGGTCCCTTTTTCTGAAATTTTCTCCTTTCCTCCTCTCATCCTTAACTCCTTCACAAAACTCTATGATCTATTACGGCATCTACAGCACTGTAGTGTAGTTGTTTGTAAACTTCTATACTTCCTGGCTTGATGCTAAGGTCACTGAGGGCAAATACTATGCATCTTTCAGCTTGTATCTCCTGCACCACGCACAGTACCTGGCACACAGTAAGTGCTTTATAAATAATAATTTAATGAGTGATTAAAGCAGGACTTTGGAGTGTTCAATCTACCAAGATCTAAGGAAAAAATTTGAAGAAGGAGCATCTGGAGACAGGGAGGCCAGATAGCTATTGCTAAAGTCTGGACATGAAGTAACAAGCGCATGAAATAGGAGATGGAAATGGACTGAAAGAAAAGGAGTCCAGAGAAACTCGTGAGTTGGTGTCTTATTGGGCATGGAAAGCAAAAGGGTGGAAATAATCAAAGATTACCAAATTCACTGGGGTAACTGGGTACAGAGTGGTGATAGTGGTAACATAAACAATAAAGGTATAGTAAGGTAACATTTGCTGCTGTTAACAAATAAACACTAAAATTTAAGTGGCCTAACAAACAGATTTATCCTCTCACACATCAAGTCTGTATGGATGCTCCTGATGGGCAGGTGGTTCTCCTCTGACAGTGATTCAGTGACATAGCTGTCTTTCATTTTGAGTGGGTCATTTCCAAGATCATCTGCTTAAGGAGTATTAGGAATGCAAAGTTTTTATGGTCGGGAAATAGTGAATATCCCTTCTGCTCACACTCTATTGGCCAGATCTTAGTTACATGGCCCAGCCAACCGCAAAGAAAGCTGGAAAACATAGATTAGTTAGCTTGGTATTCAGGAAGAAAAGAAAATGTGTTTGGCATACTTGCATCAGTCTTCTGCCACAGTTAAGGTGTTGGGAAATTTTAGGGAATGAAGGTAGAGTAAAACTATCCTCAGTTTGTGGTCTGTTTTTAACTGCTAGTTTTAAATGAGAAAAAATCAAGTAAGTTAGTGATAAAACAACCAAGAAAGCTGAGGCAATAGTCAGAAAATTCACCTGAATTTCTTTACACTTAATAATCGTGTAACATTAGAAAAGTCTATACTTTTTACGTATCATATATTGAATATATGTAAATTTTATGTATTATACATTGTGATGATCTATCTTTTGCACACAAAATAAAAGTATCTATCATTAAGAGAATGGGGAGTTATAAATATTTTCTGAATTGTGCCTATGGATAATGGTAAATTTAGGAATACTTGTATGACTGGCCTTGAAACCAATTTTTTTATGTCAGAGTTGGTGGAATAAACCTAAAGCTCATGGTATTGTCGGCAAATGCTATGGTGGATGTGCATTTTCATAAACTTTTATAAATGTGGCTCTCTTACTTGTTTTTCAAAATATAGTTATTACATTTTAGCTTAAATTCTGCCTCTCTTGGCCATTATGGATAAGTTAAGACATATGCACAAGCACCTGTTATATCCTTTAGCCAAACAAAAGAGATAACCGAATTCACTTTTGGTTTCTTAGGTAATTTACTCATGTCCCATTATTTGACATCAAAGTCAAGTTTATGAGGAGAAAAGCACCAACAATGTAAATCCCAGGAGTTGGAATTAAAAAGCTCCCAAATCAGTTCTTCCCTCAAGTGTTAAATAATTCACTGCGGCATTATAGATACAAGCTGTAAATCCCAGTAGTTGGAATTAAAAAGCTCCCAAATCAGTTCTTCCCTCAAATGTTAAATAATTCACTGCAGCATTATAGATACAAGCCTCCAGCAAAAGCTACACTTGAACAATTAAGGAAACAGGAGCCAAACAAATGACTTCAGGAGTAGAGAAACAAATTAATGGTTTCTCCTAGTGCTATACCAAATTACTTTTTCACATTAACAAGTGTGTAAAACACCCAAACATACCAATGACTTACTGCATCAAGTTTGATTATAAAAAACAGCCTGAAACTACAGGCCAGGATTATTCCCCAAATGTAATTGTGGATTCTGTACACTGAGTATAAAATCCATTTATGTTATTTGGAAAGTTTTTATGTTCACAATGTACACCTGCTCTTTTGCAAAGTTCTTTTACTCAGATTGCTCAGATTACAATGACCATCTACCAAACACGTTATGTGAAGGATCAGAAGCAATGCAATCATTTCGTAGAGGCTAGATAAGAAATTACAAACACGAAGTTACATCACGGCATACCGTGTACATATAGCTAATAGCTCCTGCATAGTAGAAAAAGTATACTCTTTAGAGTAAAAATAGGATTTCAGTCCCAACTCTATCACATTCTGCCTAGAAGATTTCACACAAATTTTAACCTCAGTATCGGTTACCTCTTCTGTAAAATGGGGATGATTCACTCATTCAACAAATATTTACTGAACACCTATTATGTGTCAAGCAGAACTTTCCAAGGGTTATTTTAGGATTAGATATAATAAAACATAGCCAGTATTCATAAGATGTATGTGTGGTTACCCACATGTCCAAGCAGATGACTGACCAATAAGATGAGATCAAAGTCAGCAGACTGAAAATCAATGGAATTTCTAACAGGAAACACAGACACATGGGATATAAGGTGATGTGACATCCATTTGCTTTCTAGGGATTAACAGGTTATTAGTATTCATTCTAGATTTTTTATGTATTTTCTTTAGTTATCTCAACTAAACATAGCCAAGAGTTTTCTACAAAACAGAAGGTAGAGTTTCAAGCTCTAATTCAAACAGGTTTGGGGGTAAGATGTACATATGTTAAAGATTTTCCAAGTTGCTTCATTTAGGAATTTTTTAAGACATACTTACAAGAAGAAGACCTTTTTTGCATACTAATTTAATGGCTAATCTCATCTAAAAGTGAAATAAATTCTTTGAAACAGACTGAAAGATGGAATGGAATCAAGAAAAAAAACATGAGATTTGGAAGGAAGATGAGAACTACAGTTAGAGCCTCAGCTTTTCCCATTTGCCAGCTGTGTCACTTAAAAAATTCTCAAGATATTTAAGTCTCATTTTTCTCAAGAGTAAAGTAAGTATAATAACTCTTATCTACAACATTATCATGTGAGATCACTGTCATAAAAAAATTAGTATCCTAAAGGCACTAAAAAATATAAACAATTTAAGAGTGAGTAGAAACTGAAAATGATCTCATGGTATCCCTTCTAGTAAAGATACTTGTATGGATAAATAGTAAAAGGGCTACAAAATTATACTGGCTGGAAGTGTGGTCATTTGTAGCTATGACAGTAATCTTCTTTGCCTGCTTATTAATGAAGGAAGGATCCTTGTGTGGGGAAATTTACCAGAGTTATGCATGAAGCTCACCAAGACTATTAGACTTGTTAGGAACAATAAAAAATCCATTTCTGAAATCTTACAATATATTTTAATCTATCTTTGAATTAGAGAATGACAAAGAGCTAAACACTGCTTTCCATTGACCACTCGCCAGTAAAAGAAAATACAATTTAGGGAGCAATATCAAAAACTAAATTTCTTCTTACCGTGAGTAGATCCCACTGACCATATCATAGTGCTGTCATGAGGTATTCACACTGCTGGGCCCAGATGCTTTAGAAATAAGGGGCACCCCCAAGCCCCTCAACTGGAGGTTATTCCGGCTGTCATGTACAAGACCTCTGACAACAAGGAAAGAAACAAAGGGATGAATATACCCTCAGAGGATAAGTCAGATCAAGTTAGAAAATTGCTACAAGTGTGCCCAAATTTCTAAAACTGGTCAATGGGAGTTATTGACAAGAAATAGGGAAGAGTAAATGCGAGGAAGCAATGAGCTCAGGAAACAGCTAGAGAAACCCATGGCTGGGTTTAGAAAGTGGCGATCTCTAATTGTGAAGTTTGATGATCTGGCTCCCCCCTCTCTCTGGGCCTTCCCACTGTCTATATCCTACCTCACAATCTTAATTATTTGCTCTGATAGCAAGATAAACCCATAAGTTTTAAACTGCTTTGTGGCCGTTGACAGCAACTGAAATATAAATTGTATGAAAAAAAAAATATATATATATAAATTGTATGGCTCAGATGAAGTGACATTATTTGGTGATGATGGTGGTGAAGGGGAATGGTAAAAAATGTCTTGTTTTCACAGGTAGAGAAGAAGTTCAGAGTATAAAACCATTAAACCAAATCCAAATGACCAAAAATTTTATTTGATTAGTAAATGGAAGTGAATGCCATCATCAAAAATCTTGCCATTTCCTATTACTTGTGGAAAGCATTATCATTCTAGGCAACAATAAGGCTTTAACTTAGAATGTCATATTTCTTTTGCCATGAGGATTGAACTTTTATAATTTCTGCTATAACTGAGGCTAGAAATACTTTCCAGGAATACATTTTCTTTTTAAAGTATTGTAAATGGTTGTCATACAAGAACTAAATGGCATCATTAGAAAAAAAGAAAACCACAGGAAATATATTACAATAAGTTAATATTTAGAATAATACTCATGAGCACTAATAAAATAGATTATATTATGGCATACATAAATAATATGCAAAAATATTTCTTGAATGTGGTAAAAAAATTAAAAATTAGTATTATAATACTTTGCTGAGGTACTAGCCAGAGCAATCAAGCAAGAGAAAGAAATAAAGGGAATCCAGATTGGAAAAGATGTAGGCAAACTTTCCCTATTTGCAGATGACATGATACTATATATAGAAAAACCTCAAGACTCTATCAAAAAACTCCTAGAGCTGATTAATAACTTCATTTAACATTACAGTATACAAAATAAATGCCCTCAAATCAGTTGCATTTATATACTCAAATAATGAATTAACAGAAAGAGAAATAAAGTAAGCAAGCCCATTTACAATTGTCACCAAAAAAAAAAAAATAGCGTGGGATCAATTTCACCAAGGAGGTGAAAGACCTCTACAAGAGAACTACAAACTACTTCTGAAAGAAATTAAAGAAGACACAAAAAGATGAAAGATATTCCATGCTCTTGGATTGGAAGAATTAACATTGTGAAAATGTCCATATTACCCAAAGCGATCTACAGATTCACTGCAATCCCCATCAAAATACAAATGACATTCTTCACAGAAATGGAAAAAACAATCTTACATTTCATATGGAACAACAAAAGACCAAGAATAGCCAAAGCAATCCTGAGCAAATAAATAAATAAATAAATAAATAAATAAATAAATAAATAAAGCCAGAAGCATAACACTACCTGACTTCAAATTATACTACAAAGCTATTGTAACTAAAACAGCGTGGTACTGGTATAAATATAGACATTCAGACCAGTGGAGTAGAACTGAGAACCCAGAAATCACCCCTCAGGTTTACAGCCATCTGATATTGGACAAAAGCAACAAAAATCTACATTGGGGAAAAGACTGCCTCTTCAACAACAAGTGGTGCTCAGAAAACTGAATCTGTATGCAGAAGAATGAAACTAGATATGCATCTCTCACCATACACTAAAATCAACTCAAAATGGATTAAAGACTTAAGTGTAAGACCTGAAACTGTAAAATTACTAAGGGAAAGTATAGGTGAAACACTTTAGCAACTAGGTCTGGGCACAGGCTTTATGAACATGAGCCTGAAAGCACAAGCAGCAAAAGAAAAAATAAACAAATGGGACTATATCAAACTAAAAAGCTTCTGCACAGCAAAACAAACAATCAACAGAGTGAAATGACAACCTACAGAGTGGGAGAAAATTTTTGTGAATTATGCATCTGACAAGAGATTAATATACAGAATATACATAGAACTCAAGCAATTATACAGTAAAAAACCAAATAATGCAATTTTAAAAATGGGCAAAGGAGCCAAATAGACATTTTTCAAAGGAAGACATACAAATGGCTAACAGGTACATGAAAAAATGTCCAACATCACTAATCATCAGGGAAATGCAAATTAAAACTACACTGAGATACCACCTCACCCCAGTTAGACTGGCTATAATCAAAAAGATGGTGAATAACAAATGCTGGTGATGGCATGGAGAGAAGGGAACACTCCTACACTGTTGGTGGGACTGTAAATTAGTACAACCACTGTGGAAAATGGTATGGAGGTTTCTCAAACAACTGCAGATAGATCTTCCATATGATCCAGCAATCCCACTTCCGGGTATATTTCCAGAGGAATGGAAATCATCATGTCGAAGGGATACCTGCACTCCCATGTTCATCACAGCTCTGTTTACAATAGCCAAGACATGGAACCAACCTAAACATCCATCGACGGATGATTGGATAAGGAAACTGTGGTATATTTACACCATGGAATACTATTCTGCCATAAAAAAGAATGAAATACTCCCATTTGCAACAACATGGATATGCCCGGAGAAACTTATGTTGAGTGAAATAAGCAAAGCACGGAGGGATAAATACCACATGTGCTCACTCATAAGTGGGAGCTAAGAGAGAAAGAAGGAAGGAAAGAAAGACCACAGTAGTGCATTGGTCTTGCAGAGGGAGAGAACATTCCTTGGGGTACAGAGTGGGGTGGAGGAGAAACTGGGAGGGGAGTGAGGTTGGGGATAATTGGATGGTGGACATGGGGTACAAAAGCAACTTCTGGTAATGGGTATTCTGCCAGTATGAATCTGGCCCTCACATCATGGGCACAAGGGGTGACAATCAGCTTTGTATCTCATGAATATTCATAATAAAAAATTTAGAAAATTAAAAATAAAAAAAGCTATGCTGATTCAACCCTGAAGCAGGTCTCTAAGATAACATCAAGGACAAAAACAGAAGTCAGAAGGAGCCTTGGTGAGAATTGCACCTGGCTCCTTACATGTCCCCCCTCCTCTTCTTTTTATTTCCCACAGTCTATTCCCTCAACCTCCTTTTTACAAACCCCTCAGTAAAACTGAGTCTTTGCAACAGTCTTAGTCTGGCCATTCTCCTGGTTTACCAGAGAGATGGGTTAGCCCAACATCTCTCCTCAGGTCACTGGTATTCCTGAATAAAGCACCTTCCTATTCCACCACCACCACCAAAAAAATAATACTTTGCTGAATTATTAAGATTTTTTTGGTGAGTTCTGGACAAAGAATCAATTTAAGTTAATTAAATTAACATAGACCAAAAAAACCCGTTAGTCCATTATTTAAGAAAAATCTTTGCCCCTCGAGCCTCCAAATAGAATTTTTAAAAAGGGCCCCTCCTTACCTTTCATTAGTATCAAAATAAGACAAATCTTCAGACTCTCTGCAAAGTAACAACTGTAGCTGTTCCTCTGCTTATATATACTCCCTAACCAAGTAAGTGATTCTGAGCAAGTTGGAAGGGTTAGTGATTTTTAAAAAGAAGTTCTAATTTCCTAGGAAAAGGAAGTTAAGGCAATTAAGTTATATCACAACAGAGGCAAATAATCATCAGAAATGTCCCAAACTCTTTATTATTATGTAACAATCTGGTTAAATCCTATGGGCCCAAAACAGGGAGGCTGGGAAGCAGACCATTTTGGAACAAGAAAATGTGAAACGGGAACTTTTCTAAATTTTTTGCTTTGAATTGCAAATTTTAACTTAGACCTCTAGATCCTTATATATGTATCACCTTCAGTGAATCTTTATTCTTCCTTTCTTCTATAATAATACTAAAGAGAAAGTCTGAATTGGCTTTTAATTCTAGAAAGAAAAAAGAGAAAAGGGAGGCTGTGTGTGTGTGTGTGTGTGTGTGTGTGTGTGTGTGTGTGTGTGTGTGTGTTTTGGGATTGGGCTTGGTCAGGGATGAAGGATATGTTGACACAGTAAGAACTCTAAGAGGCAAACTTGGGACAAGTCTGACCAGGTCACACTGATGAAACAGTTCTGCTAACAGTTTTAAAACATCTTCCTCTAACTTCTGAGACAGATCTTCCACAGGGGACACACACACAAACTAATCATAATCATAATCATAATCATAATCATAATGGCAGCAGCAAACTCTTATATTGTGCTTTATATATTGCTTTCTATACGTCAGGAACTGTTCTACACATTTTACTATATATTAACTAAATTAATTCACAATTCTAAAACGAAGGTAACACAATTAGCCTGATTTTACAGATGAGTAGAATGAAGTACACAGAGATCAAGCAACTTCCCCAAGGTACCACAGCTGTCAGATGGTAGAGCCTTGAAAGACGTAGGACTTGAACCCAGGCCACAGGCTCTAGAGTCTACATATACTCTTAATCATGATGCTACAGTGATTCTCCGCCTGCTTCTCCCACACACAAAACTATTTGCTATGTCAATTTCAGTTGGCTTTAGAATCATACAAGCCCAGGTGTGAAAAACTCTGCCATTTCCTAGCTGTATGACTCAGAGGCTGACACCTCTTCTATAAAATGATGGTAACAATGTCTGCTTTCCATTGTCATTGTATGGAAGAGACCACATGATAAAGTATATAACTGTGGAAGCATGCGATAGGTGATCAAGTCATCAGTAAATTATGTTCTCTTTCCTTGTTATTTTCTTGCCATCTATTTTTTCTCAACTCCTACATTTTCTCTCTTCTATTCCCTTCCTCCTTCTATCTCTCAAAAAGTCTTCCCCACGCTACCAGCATACATAATCTAAAAATGTTTACTTTTCTATTTTCCCAAATAACAAAAGTAAAAGAATTGTTCCCACCCTGCAATTATCATTTATCGTGGAAACATTTGCCCCTTTCAGAATGCATTGCTGAGGTCAGGACAAGAAACTATAACAGACTGGCTGTCAAAAATCAAGAGAGCATTCAAAAAGCCTGCTGACCATTATTTTCATGTAAAACAATAGTTAATCTGGTTAATC